ATACTGTTATCGTCTGATCTCCAAGTGATTGTGTATATGCGTGTATAAATGTAAAATTTCCCTTAAATTTTTTCTTCTGAGTTGACTATGATGGCCCACACTTGGAATTCCAGCACTCAGTAAATGGAGGCAGGTGAATCAGGAGTTCAAGCTCACCCTTGGCTGTATATGCAATTCCAGGTCAGGTTGGGTACAGCGATATACTAAAAACTCAGTGCTGGGGACATAGATACAGGAGGATCCTGGGACCTCATTAGTCAGATAGTCTAACCAATCAGTTAGCTCCAGTGAGAGACTAACCCTGTTTCAAGGTAGAGAAGCTTGCCACTGTGCAGATAAATCAGAGTTAGGAGATATAAGGTGCTACTGCATTTTAACTATTGTTGGTAGTATCTTTTTTTTTTCATTTTTTATTTTAATTTTAAATAGCTTGTTTTACATGTCAATTGTTGGTAGTATCTTATGGCACCAAAGCTGTGTAGAAAAGCTCAATAGAATACTACCTATAACATGAAATGAAAAGGAACCAAATGTTACGAAAACAAAATGGGGAAGGTAAAGAATCACATTCTAGAAGAATTTGAGAATAAAGAAAGCGGAAGAGGCAGCAAAGTTGTACATGCTTCCAGGTTGGGTCTTGTGCCATGCACACAATGGTATCAGGTCACTGAGGGCATCCAGCATGATGCTTGGAACCCACACAAAGAAAGGAAAGAACCAATTTCAGAGGCTATAAAGAATACACAGATGAAGGAAATTCTGCAAGCAGAAAATCTGGGTAAATGAACAGGAACTACAGATGGAAGAGAGAATCTCAGTCACTGAAGATATGATAGAGGAAACAGATTTAGTGGTCAAAGAAAACATGAAAGCCAATGAAGTCATAACACAAAATGCCCAGGAAATCTGGGACACCATGAAAAGACCAAACCTAAGAATTGTAGGGATAGAAGGAGGAGAAGAATACTAGCTTAAAGGCACAGGAAATATATTCAACAAAATTATAGAAGGAAACTGTCCCAATCTAAAGAAGGAAATGCCTATGAAGATACACGAAGCTTACAGAACACAAAATAGATTAGACCCCCCAATAAAAGCCCTCCTGACACATAAAACAACATGAAATATACAGAATAAATAAAGAATATTAAGAGCTGCAAAGGAAAAAAGGTCAAGTAACATATAAAGGCAGACCCATCAGAATAACATGCGACTTCTCAATGGATACTCTCAAAGTCAGAAGGTAATGAATGGACAAACATTATGCAGACCCTAAGAGATCATGGATGCCAACCCAGACTACATTATCCAGCAAAACTTTCAATTACCACAGATGGAGAAAACAGATATTCCACAACAAAACCAAATTTAAACAATACTTATCCACAAATCCAGCCCTAAAGAAAGCACTAGAAGGAAAACTCCAACCCAAGGAGGTTAGACATACCCAGGAAAGCATTGGCAATAAATAATCCCACACCAACAATCTTAAGGAAACACACACAAACACACACAACCACCACCACTGAAAATTACAGGAATCAATCACTGGTCATTGATATCCCTTAATATCAATGGACTCAACTCACCCATAAAAACACACAGGCTAACAGAATGGATACTAAAACAGGGTCCCTTTCTGCTGCATATAAGAAACACATCTCAACTTCAAAGAAACATTTCCTCAGAATAAAGGGATGAGAAAAGACTTTCCAATCAAATGGACCTAAGATGAAAAGTTGGTGTAGCTATATATCCTAATTATCTAACAAAATAGACTTCAAACTAATGGTAATCAAAAGAGATGATGAAGGACATTTCATATTCATCACAGGAAAGAATCCTGCAAGAAGTCATCTCAATCCTCAATATATATGCACCAAACACAAGGGCACCCACATTTGTAAAATAAACATTACTAAAGCTTAAATCACACATCAAACCCCACATACTTACAGTGGGAGACTTTAACACCCCACTCTCTCCAGTGGACAGGTCTGCCAGACAGAAAATTAATAGAAATAAGGGATCTAACAGATGTTATAACACAAACGGGCTTAATAGACATCTATAAAACATTCAACCCAAACCAAAAGAATACACCTTTTTCTCAGCACCCCACAGAACCTTCTCTAAAACTGACCACATACTTGGTATAAAAGCAAATCTCAACAGATACAGAAAAACTGGAATAATACCCCCCATATCTTATTGGATCATCATGGATTAAAGTTAGAATTAAAAAACACCACAAATTCTAGAAAGCCCACAAACTCATGGAAATGGAATAATGCCCAACTTAATCACACCTGGGTCACGGAAGAAATAAAGAAATTAAAAATGTCCTATAATTCGCTCTAGTTGCCATCTTGCGACCCCGCAAGTGTGTGCCTGATCTCAGGTAATACGGATATAGATTGCAGTATCTTTGTCAAGTCAGAGTCTTAACTGGAGATCCTCAATATAACACCATCAAATGAGTGAGTTCTCCACTCCTTTTATGTGGTAACTTAGCCAGCGTACCATTCTTAGAAGCAAGTGCCACACATAACACGGATTACAAAGAGGGGCTTCACGTATGAACATCACAGAAAGGATTTAGCAAAAGACAGTGCACTTCGGGTTTTTTAAGTGGGGGCCTTCCCATTCCTCAAGCCCACCTGCTTGTCTCAGCATCTACTGACAGAAGTATCTGATCAAGTACAGCATTGTGAAAAGCCCCACTGCAAAGTGTTGCTTTCTTTTTATAGTGGCATTTGCCTGGAAATCTTTGTTTTTCTGATATAGAAATCAGCTTTCATGTGCGAAGTGTTCAAGTATCTATGGACAGCTTTAATTTACCACTAAAGGTGCCTCTGCATTTTCCTAGTTTGGGCCATTTTTCTTTGATCCTAGCAGGCTTCTAAAGGATAGATCACCACAGAGCACATTCTCCATTTGACCGTATTATCTCCAGCCATTTTCATGAGTACATTCTCCATTTGACCGTATTATTTCCAGCCATTTTCATGAGCACATTCTCCATTTGACCGTATTATTTCCAGCCATTTTCAGGTGTCACTTTAAACCCACAAGTCAAGCCTGACACTGGGACTTTCTGGACACAAGCCCATGTTCTTGCATATATTCCTATTAAAATTAGCACAGCTTAGCTGGGCGGTGGTGGCGCACGCCTTTAATCCCAGCTCTCGGGAGGCAGAGGCAGGTGGATCTCTCTGAGTTCGAGGCCAGGCTGGACCAACAGCCTCCAAAACAATACAGAGGAACCCTGTCTCGTAAAAACCAAAAAAAAAAAAAAAAATAGCTCAGCTTAGTCTGTAGTTCAATTTCTATTACTCTTCTCTGCTTTATATCAATTTTTAAAAATATTTATTTATTACTATGTATACAGTGTTCTGCTTCCATGTACCCCTGCAGGTCAGAAGCGAGCACCAGATCTCATTACAGATGGGTGCTGGGAATTGAACTCAGGTCCTCTGGAAGAGCAACCAGTGCTCTTCACCGCTGAGCCATCTCTCCAGCCCTGTATCAATGTTTTTAGTGTGCGTTTTTTGTTTGTTTGCTTGTATGTTTTTTCTAGGCCCGTAGATCCAACTTATGGCCTTTCAAATGTTATGCAAAGCTCTCCCATTAAACTACATCTGGGCCCAAATCTTAGTTGCACATATTGTTTAAATTACAAATTAGAAGCCAGCATGGTGGCAAGTGCCTATAGTCTTAGCTACTTGGGAGGCCGAGGCAGGAAGATCATTTAGAATTATGAGACTTTGAGGCCAGCCTGGGTAACAGTGAGACCTGAACTTTTAAAAAGAATTACAAATTCATCTGTAGGGCTTCATTTATCAATACAAGAAACACTGAGTTCAATTTCAAAGGCTTATTACTAGAAAGGCATATGTGAACTTTCTATACTATTTCATCAACTTCTGTCTAAAATTTTAAAATAAAAAATTTAATATAGGAAAAACATTCCTTGCTCTACATGTGATCAAACTATTTAAAATTCAGAGTATCTCTCAGTCAAAGTGAGACTCTTTTAACTTCAACTTCATGTTTATCGTTGATTTCCTCTTCACTGGACTAATAAAAATCACTGGGTAGATAACTGAAGACAAAGCATCCTCTCCTACCTTTCCTACAAAAACCACTCTAGAACGCATAGATTTTGACAAATGATTTGGGGAGTATACAATGGTACAACCATCGGAGCAAGTTTCACAGAATTATTTTAAACTAAAATGTTATGCCATAATGACTGGCAATTTTACTCCTGGGTGTCTACTGAAGAGAAACACATGTGCTCACACATACACATATACATAAAATGCACACACACATACACATGTGCTCACACATATACAAACATGTGCTCACACAAACATATAGAACTTGACTCAGAATGTTCACAGCAGCTTGACTTTGGTAGCTACAACTGAAAACAAGCCCCATGTTTTTCATCAACAGGAGAATATGCTAACAAAGTGGTACAATTCAGACACATAATTAAGAAATGCTCAATATCAAAATGGATAGAACACAAATGCTGAATCAAGGAACCCAGGTCCAAGAGAGTGAATAACGTATGATTCCACTGACATTTTGTCTAGGAAGGACAAGGCTGATAACAGTGATAGAAACCAATGCTGCTGTCTCTGGAAGAGTAGACAAGATGAATTGAAAGGGTATTATATAGGGAACTCTCAGAAGTGACTTAACTGTTCTATATCATGGTTTCAATACATGTTAACAATTATACAAAACATGCATTTAAATTGTATTGCAACTGAAATGAAAATCATAAGTCTATTATATACATCCACCCCATACTGCTTTTTGAGACAGGAGGCAGCCCAGGCTGGCTTCCAAATTCCTGGCATCCGCCTGCCTCAGTGCTGGAACTATAGGCATGCTCCACCATGGCTGGCTTTAAACAGTTTTCTAAGAGGAAAATGAAATCGAGCAATCACTGAAGAATCTGAGCATTTCCATTCCCGGCTTACCTGTCAAGGAGCTGCTCATGCTTTTCTAGAGCACCCTTTTCAGCTGCCACTGCTCGGCTCTTTTCAGCGAGAGCATTATCCCTGGCTTCTCGGAGATTCCTAAAATCCAAACACGCATCTCAGTTATTTTAAATGCTTAAGTGTCTGTCTTTTAAAGATTCATGAATTTGCTTACAATGGGTAGATCTTAAGGACTTTCTAGAGGCTAGTGATGCCAAGTATACATTGCAGGAAGCTGCCTGGTTGGGCAAGAATTCTGACAGGAGGCAGCAATACAGGTGTAAACTATTTCTAAACAGAGCTGAGTTAGATATTAGAATTTAGTTACCTTTAATTTTTTGTGGAGAATGCCAGTTAGAAACATAACTGTCCCCACAGTTTGAATCATTTCTTCATAGTTTTGTTTTCCTCATGGGCTGAAAAGGGCAGGTTACACAGTGTGTATATGCTTTTATCCAATGAGGTACGTGTAATAGCCATAAGAAAACTGAGGTTGAGAGCAGAAGTCACAAGAATCAAAGTGAGAATAAAGTCTGAGATACTAGCAAAGGAACAGCTGAAATATTGGGTCCTAGTATCTTAGTTGTGAAAGAAAGGTGGATGAATTAGGAGTACAAGGGAGAAAGGACAGAGGGTTGAAAGAATGTCACATCATTAAGTGCAAGTTATGTACACGGTGGACTAGAGATTGCTACTGGAGAACAGTGCTTTAGGGACAGAGTGGCATGCTCCACCCAACTACCAACCTGGCCTGCCCCTGCTCAGCTTTTGAGATCATGGGAGATGGGGAGTACTATAGTCACAGGTTACGGTATAGCCTTAGACAAAAAAAGTATTTCTGCCAGAAATTTTAGTTGGTCATAAGTCAGGGTGTCTCCATTAGGATGGCTGGATGGAGTAAAGCTGCTGAAATGACAGACAATATTCATGTATGGCTCAAGCAATATGAGCTCATAATCTTACATAAGCCATCCACTTATGATAGCAGGTATGGAAACTGCTGCAAAGGTTCCCCTTAGTGATAGCTAAGGAGATTACTCCAATGGGAGAAGGAACAACAGTGAATACTTAGGAGATAATACAACCAGGCATGAGCTTCTTACATCCATTTCTCTGGTGTCTTAATACAGATGAAACCTGGGGTCAAGAAATATACCAACTAAGCTTCTTCCAGATTGTCACTTAACTTGACGCCATTTTACTTCCTTAAATAGAGTTATAGAGAAAAATATAGGGCAGAACACAAACGATTTGCTCACATAACGTCTGCAAACCCAGATGATGCATTTTCAGTACACTGAAGTATATAGAGAGCTTGTGTAAATGGCCTAGGGACACAGTCTGAAAAGGATCAGTTTGCATTCACCTACTATGTACTATGAATCCCATGCTTCTCACATCACAGAATTTCTCATAAAGAGCTGGGCTGGATACTAGAATTTGGTCCCTTTATCATTAGTAGTATCAATAGTAAGCCACGGAAATTCAGATAGATTGAACCCATCTATGTGGTACACACTGGATAAAAAGGCCTACTGATCACACTTGCTGTGACCATATTCAGTGCAGCCTTCTCGCAGAATGATTGAGTAACAACTTCAAATCTAAAACATGCCAGTCACTATAGAGTGATTCATCAGCCAAGGCTTATGAGCCACAAATAAAATAGTTGTGAAAATCGTGAAGGTCATTCTTGACAAGAAACAATTTTTGTATGTTATTTTCTAAGTAGAATTGCTTTCTTAAATAGCTATTACAAGATTATTTTTTATGTCATCGTGATTACAATGACCTTAAAGATTATTTATTCTATTCTATTATAAAACATGAAAATAAATTGTAGAGAACACAATTCTCTAAGTATCTTAAACATTTATATATTTTCATTCTAAGATGCCCTACATATTTTAGCCAGTAAATCACAAATTAGTTCCAATTTTCCTTTCTAAAAATGGCATCCTTATTTTTAAATGTGATTAAATAGTGGAATTCCAAATAGGTCACATTTGCAGTACTAGTTAAATACAAATGCTTGGTTGGTAGATGGAGAATTCTCAGTCCCTAACTATACACTTCCTTTCTAGTCACAATGAGTATTAGAAATAAAGGCAAGCCACAGAGAATCAAATAAAAAGAGGTCGTACAGTTTGTCATAGACAGTCTGCAACATCCAGCTAACTGAGTGCTACAAGGCCTAAGCAAATCCCAAGGCTACAAGGAAGAGGAGGTAACTGTGAGGCTATGTCTTGAGGTTTATGGCTAGCTCCCTATTCACTCTCTGCTTCTTCAATGCAGACAGGCAGTGATCAGCAGACACTTTGCTCTTGCTGCCCTGCTGTGTGGTGTTAGAATTAGAATGGCCACCATGGGCTCACATGAGGAATATTTGAACTTCAATTGGTGAAACTGTTTGAGAAGGATTAGGAGGCGTAGCCTTAGTGGAAGGGGTGTGTCACTGGCAACAGGTTTTGAGGTTTCAGAAGGCTCATATTCCTAGTTAGTTGTCTCTGCCTCTTACTTACAGATCAAGATATAACTTCTCAGCTACCACACTCCAGGAACATTCCTGCTGCTATGCTCCTTGCCATGATGGTCATGGCCTCTAACCCTCAGAAACTTTAAGTCCCATGGAAGTCCTTTCACCTGTCAGTTGCTTGGTCACAGTAATTGAAAAGTTAATTACAGGGTATGTCTCCTGCCTCCTGCCTTATTGCCTGACCATGACAAAATGATCATTTTGAACTGCAAGCCAGAATACATCTTCCCTAAATTGCTTCTTGTCAGGTATTTGGTCACAACGAATACGTAACTTGTCACAACAACTCTTCCATCTTACAAACAGATTTCAAGACTGAATACAGAGACTCAATCCCAGGTCACATCATAAGGTACACACTGTGGAGCCTGAGTGTCCGTCCATTCTCTACCATATTCTACATTCTGAATCATGCCATGTTGCCTTTCTCAGGTCTCTTTCACAGGCATCTCCTCTTTGGGATGCTCTGACAATATGAGACTTGTATCATATGACAACACCACAGTGCAAACATGTCAGAATTATCCATAAAAGGACCGAACTGATTATATTTTTGTTTCTATGGACCACAATGTACAAGCTCTTTTAAAATCAGACTGGTTTGACAAGACACCAGATGCACCGCATCCCTGATATAGATAAAACAATAACACCCACATAATTAATGAATAAGCCATTTCCAAATGCTAAATACATTAGAAGATGTAATAAATATAATTATAGAACAAATAACAGGAATTCAAATGTTCCTCAAAAGAGAAACTTGAAAAATTGACAGAGGCTATCTATGGCATGTATAAACTAATGGGGTTGAGATTTTAAAAATCCAAACTGAATGTAATAAAATATAATTAGAGTAACATTGAAATATGTCAGGAGCAGCCCAGCTGGCTTATCTTCAGGAGCTTGGCTCTGAACATGCTCTGCTGGCTCCACCCCACCAAACCCAGCCTGAGCATACCCAAAACTAAGGATGCTTGAATATAAAATGTCATACATTTTGCATATGACTTACAACAGGCACTCCCTGTATATTTTATATTGCCCAGAAGGCCCAATACAATGTAACACCATGTAGGTTATACTGTACTGCTTTAGAAATTGTGACAAAAAAATCTCTACACCTGTAGTACAGACACAATCTGCTTCTAGTTATTTTTGATTTGCAGTTGGTTAAATCAGTAGATGGAGGACCCACAGATAAGGCTTAAGATAAATTACCCTCAAAAACAATTGTATAAAAAACCACTTTTATACAGTTTTACCACCAAACCATTTTTCATGATACAGTCACATTGTTGCCTACCTACTTCTCTCCTAGGTAGATAGATATAATTTTCCTATCTGCTTCAGATCAGTGTTGTAAGATACATTTAAATGGATGGAGAAAGGAAAAAAATAAGATGATGGGCATCCCAGGACTTCTACTACAGTAACTACAGTGTATTATGTATTTATCTTGAATTACTTTTTCATATCAAAAGAGGATACTGCAATAATTGGAACAGAGAATGTAGCATAAGTTTCTTGGTTAAAATAGATAATATGTTATAATACTCAGGCAGAGGCAGAGGCAGAGGCAGAGGCAGGGGATCTCTGAGTTCAAAGCCAGCTTGGTCTACAGAGAGTTCCAGGATAGCCATTTACTGTTATACAGAGAAACCCCGTCTTGGATGAAAACAAACAAAAACCCAGAAAATAAAAGCCCAAAACAAAATTTAAGTTCCTAATGATTTATCTATACACCAAGTGTCTACTATAATAAAATAGGCATATTTATTTAACATGTACTGCAATGTCATTTGTATAGTACATAACTTAATACAGGCAAGTATATCCAAAAATTTTTCCCAAACGAAGCATAAAGAATGAACACAATATATTCAAACAGACTGAATAGAATGGAATATATTTTCTCATTCCTAGAATATAAACTTTGTACTATCAACAGGCCGAATCTAAATTTATATCTGAATATGGTACAAAAAACATTTAAAAAAATTGGAAGTCTTCAGGCTAGGACTGGCCTATGACTAACAATCCTGCCTCGGCCTCCTTTCTGTTATTAGAGGAATTTTGTACCTAGCAGGAATTCTTTTTTTTTTATTATTATTTTATTTTTAACTTTAAATTTAGATTAGAAAGAAGGTTGCTTCAAAAGTCAGTTCCAGGTCCCTCTCCGTGTCCCTCCCCTCCTCCTATCCCCTCCCACAACCCCCCCCCCGCCCAATATCCCCTCATTTTCCCAGGGAGGGTGAGGCCCTCCATGCGGGTGTCCATAGTCAATTCATCCAGGGCAGGGCCTAGACCCTCCACAAAGAGTTCAGGGTGAAAGTGCACCTCACATTGATGGATGGGAGTACAAAGCCCGTGTGTATACTCGGGATGGGTACTGATCTGCTGCCCAAGGATCAATAGATTACCTAGGCCTCCTCACCGACACCCCCATTCAGGGGGTCTTGATCAGTCCCATGTTGGATTTCCAGGCATCAGCCTGGGATACAAGAGTTAACTCTTGTCAGGTAACCTGTTTCTGGGGGTTAAACCAGCCCAGTCTTAATCC